ACAGAGCATACTCAGACAGAACCTTGACTCAGTTACCAAGATAAATCTTTTCTGATGTGGAAGATCAGACTATGCTGCAACCACAGAGCATACTTAGACAGTACCTTGGCTCTGATACCAATTGTTGCGGAAGCCAAATGTATATAGTGTGAATAAGTCACAACTACTATACCAAAAATTATGACAGCCACCAAATAATAAATAAGACAATAAAGCAACAATAAAAGGAACACCAGAATTTACGAGGTTCGGCTAATTTTGCCTACTCCTCGGACACAACCAATATTTTATTCCACTCCAAAAATACAAGTGAAATAATATTAAAGAGAGAAGATACAAATGCCTTAAGAAGATAAGAAGGCAAATGAGAGGTGTGTTTAAATCCTAAACATTAGGCCTTCTTTTATAGGGGGAAAATCCCCCCAACTCTTCTTTTCCCACCGATGTGGGACAAACATTTCTGCCAAACTTAACAGGAACTTCATCATATTATATATGTTGAAGTTCCAGTATACTTATCCTGGAACTCCAGTATAATATGATGGAGTTCAAGTATACTTATGCTGGAACTCCAGCATAATATACTGGCGTATTTTTCGGGTTTTGAAAAGTGTTTTCGCTCAGATTTATCTTTACATGAAAAGTGGCTAAATTTCGATTACTTTTGAAAGTGTGACTATTTTTGAATGACCACTTGTAAACTTGGCTATTTTTGAATTTTTCCTGTTAATTAGTGGGACTTCTTTAGTACAATATTTTTTAGACGGACATATATTTGAATACTTTTCTATTCAGCTACAAATTTTAAATCTCACAAAGGGCTTTCTTATCATCTTTCTTCCCTTTCCTCCCTTTAAAAAAGATAAGAATAAAAAGTCTATCTCCGTCCAGATCGTAATTAATAATAAAATAGCCTAAAGTAATCACATGGAAGTATTCACTCGGCTTTAAGTAAATGGAATAAAAAGAGTATCTTTGAATTAAAATAAGTAACCTTGCTAATTGCGGTCATTAATGCCAACAAATCCCATATTTTATCCAACACATCTTCCAAATTTGTCTCCTATATGTGTCATTATCTGTAAGAAAACATATTATAAAACATGTAGGGCACAAGCTGAATTTCCCTTCTTACAATTTATTGAATACTTTAACAATTTTTTCTGAACGAGAGGGATTTTGCATGAGATATTGCAGACGCGTCTCATAATATAAAATTAAAAAAAGGCCATGTGGTATATTTTTATTGCCACTCCACCCCCACTCACCACCACTTTTTTTTAATTCTCAAACGAGATTCAGTATTCGTATTGACGTCTGACAAAATTTAGATTTGCGTCAAAAAATCCACATTGAAAGTAAAATATTCTCTAATAAAGGCGATTACATACCAAAAATTCATACCCGAGACCTTTAATTTAAAATAAAGTGGAGCAATACTTACCTCTCTATCACTTCTCTTGTTTGATTGCGTTCTAGGGGTGGGCATTCGGTATTTCGGTTAGATATTTAAGAATTTCGGTTCGGTATTCGGTTTATCAATTGTGTATACCAAATACCGTACCAAAATATTTCGGTACGGTTCGGTATTTCTTATTTTGGTTCGGCACGGTTTCGGTACGGTTTCAGTTTGAAACATTAATGAGTAATATTTAAAATATTGACGCGTCAACTACTGAAATTTCTGCTTCAATATTAAATTTCGATACTGCTTCAATATGAAATTTCTGCTTCAATATTAAGCTGCTTTTTCATATAGATGTGTCAAGACTTTACATTAAGAAAGCAAAGTCGTTTCTTGAAAAACCACAACCAGTTGAAGAAATCTTAGTCCTTAAAAGGAAATTGCCAAATATAGCACCTTTTGGTTATTCTTGTGGTCTGTAACTAGGCGTGCATTCTTGCCTGCTTGGACCTGTTAGTTCTCATTGCCTTATTAGTTTTCTGATCTTTAATAGCCTGCCTGCATACTATTATGTTATAGGGATGAGGAAAAAATTTACTTACTAGATTGTTTACACTGTTATAGGAGGGAAGATCAGCTTGAATTTAGGCATGCAGTTGTGAATGAAAATTACAATTAGTAACAAATGCAGTTGTGCCTTCAGTCTTAAACAGACACAGGCACACAACATAATTAGACTTAAGGCTTCAGGCCATGGAACAAGCATCTGCAGCCAAGCTAATAGATCTGCAACCAAGCAAGAAAAATCAGAATTATTCTTGTCATTCTTTAGAAGAGATGACTAGCATTCAGAACACCTGCACAACATGTAACAAGCATCTGCAGAACAAGCTATGTAACAAGTATCTGCAGAACACCTGAACAACCAAACCATCTGCAGAACACCTGAACAGCCAAACATTTACACACTGCCAAGCTGCAATTGTAACTAAGATGCAGCAGCAACATCAGGAACACCTGAACAGCCAATTGCACTGTGCCAATTATATTTACACACTGTCAATGCCAAGAACACCTGAGCAGCCAAACCATAAACACAAATACACAACATTCAACAAGTTTGAGGTCATGCAGCAGCTAAAAGATGCTAACAGTAACACTAGCAGTTCTTTTAAAAAATGCTAACAGTAACACAATATTTAGTCCATTAGCCCGCCGATTAACATATAGTCATATATCAGTCTGAATAAAGTTGAAGATTCCACCAAGTCTAAAGAAGATTTTAACAAAATAGAAAGAGAAAACAAAATCTTTTTGTAATCATCTTCATTTATCTTTATGCTGTCAAATACAAATTACAATATGATCTATCCAAAATTAATCAGAGTACTATGTCCATTGCTAAAGAACAGAGAGCAGCAGCAGCAGAAATTAGTACAGTTTCTATCCAGTTAGCTCTAGTAAGATACAATTACTACAGTTTGTGCAACGGGCTACATAAATTAGGTTACAGAATCATTTTCCTGTATCAGTTACTTCAATCAATATCTATACACAACTGCCAACGCTTACTGCTAAAGAAATTTCACGAAACAACTATCTTCATTCTCTGTTCTACTGATATACCTTATAGGATTTTCATATGTCAACCTACTTTATACCTAATCAAACACTTGATCCAAAAAAATGAGTTTCGAATATAAAATTAATCTTCGCTAAAGAACATCGCTAGAAATCTTCATCAAATTCATTTCCATCGCTAGAAAGTAGAAATCGCTAGAAAGTAGAAACATACCTTTGAAAATTGAAACTATCGCAAGTTCGCAACAGCAACATCTTCGTTTGCCCGAAATTTGTGAGGACTGAGGAATGAGGAGTCGGAGCTCGGAAGTCGAAAATCGCCAGGAAGTCGGAAATCGCCAAATCGCCGCTCAACTGTATTGTAATCTAAATTGCTAAATGCTAATGCCCTAACCACTAACCAGTAACCAGCTAACCTTTAGAGTTTAGGCTTGGGTTTGGGCATAAGAATTAAGATGGGCTTGGGCATAAGAATTAAGAGGGCGATGGGCTGGGTGGGCAGTAATAACTAAGAAAATATCTTTTAAAAATTGGATATTCGGTATTTCGGTATACCGAAATTTCAGAATTTTAATACCGAAGACCGTACCAAAATGCCGAAATTGCAATACCGAATTGGACCAAAATACCGAAAAAAACCGAAACTAAAATACCGAATTAATTCGGTCCGGTTCAGAATTCGGTTTTTCGGATTTTATGCCCACCCCTGTTGCTTTCTTGTCTCTTTCTTGCTTCATTCCGAATTCCCATGTTAGGGCCCAAGTTTGCTGAACTGTGCTAAGTGTTTTGCATTGACTATATGTCTTGCTACACGCAAACGTTTTTAATGAACATGTTAGGGAATTAAGTTCTATTATATTGTTTTCTCTACCGTGTGACACGCTAGTGTATGTTGATCATATATAGCATGGACGTAATATAGTTTTATTCAATTTTGTCACTTTCTATGTATTCTACGTACTGTTACTACGTACGTGATTTTGTATGGATTTATTAATACTCCATGTGTACTTCTCCAGCGCAATAAACGCCAAAGTACACATGACATATAACTACTATTATTAGGTATGCCCCATGATAAAACAATTCATGGTTTAAAAAAGATGAGGAAGAAACAACGCGCAGCTATTAGGTATATATCGTAGGGCAGGACTTGTATGTGCATAATTTAAGATTTTATTATTAGAAGTTGATAACAAAAAAAAAACACAAATTAGAAAAAAGAGTAAGCATACATGGGATTAATGGAGATATAAAAAAATGAGAGAATAAATTTAGAAGTAAACAATTGCTCGTTTTATACATTGACGTTTCTAACCTCTTCTCTTGTTGGTGAAGCTGTTATAATTATGTGTAACGAAAATTATGATAGTTTTTACAGTTGAGCTTCCACCATTTGTGGATTTGTGCGCATTATCCTTTGGCAAGTGTTATGCACTATATATCCTAACGTACTTTACGTCATTTCGGTTTTATGAAGAATGAAAACTACAATAGAAAGAACAAAATTCCATATTCTTCTTCCCCCAGTATTAGTATATATATAATATTCTATTGTAGATACAAATTTGAAACTCTTGCGTCTTTAGAAACGAGCTATTCATGAGATGCTTTAAATTATTTTGAAGTTAAGTTTTGTTGCACAGAAATTTATAAGTTTAAATAGATAACCCGTGTAAAAAAAAACTTTTTCAATATATATAATTTAAATCTATATTATTCCTTTACTGCGGTTACTACTAGAAATCCACACATTTTTTACTACAAATCTCGTCGAAAAGTAAAAGAAATTTGATAAATTTCGACATTGTTTAGACGGATTTTAATCCTTTGAAATACAGCTAATGTCAAACATGTTGTCCACACAAGTGAACTTTAGAAAGGTTACACATGACAATAATAACAAATTTAGTACAATTTTACAAGTGGTGTCTAATAAAAATAATACATATGCAGATCTTACCCCTGCTTTATGAAGATAGAGAAGTTATTTTCGATAAACCTTTAGCCCAAAGAACATAACAAAGAAAGCAACACGTTTAAAAGCCAACTAAATAAAATGAATTTACACCCTACAAAGATTGAGAGCTTTTACATCTAATTACATTGGTGAGTTCATTTTCCTTTGCCCCCACCCCACCCCACCCCAGTACCCCTTTTCTGTTGGCATTTGAAGTAATGATAGATCTCCAGGAGGTGTTCATTTAAGTGGATGAGGTGACGAGATTATCATTTCTCTCCACTAAAATTGCTCCACTACGTACTATTGATTTACACAAACCTAATGGACACTCTTCATATATGCAGCATCCTCACCTCATTGTCCCCCTCTTGCCCCACACATGTATTTTCTATTTTCACTTTCCATGGCTTAACAATTGATTCACCTTCACTTTCATAATCCATTGGCGATAATTCTCTATTATTTTTCGAAGTCAAAGGAAAGAAGAAACTAAGGAAACGATATAAACAGAATGGCTGTTAATTAAGTCTACGATTAATCTTTTTCATTTAGTACGGACAAATATTTTTCCATTACTTTTAAAAAGATGAAAAATCTTATCCTAAATCTTGAGGATGTCATCTCCATAGACATGATCCTAAAGATCAGTCCCATCTTCACAAGATCCTAGAAACTTTTTCTTCTTGCCTAGATCTAATCTCAAACTCTACTATTCTATTGCAGTTAGCAATAATAATAATAATAATAATAATAATAATAATAATAATAATTGTATTAAGTAGTATAATACATATCACTTGGCAGCTCCATCGCTTTAACAGAAAGCTACCATTCGTAACAAAATTGCATTAATACTGCACTTAGGCCTCATTTGTTTGCACTTAATGAAGGTCTGATTCTTAATCATTCAGTTCTCAGACATCAAGTACGTTTGTTTTTAAAGTCTAAATCTTAATTATTCAGATCTTAATCATTAAGTGTGTTTGTATTTTTTACTTCACAGCCACTTAATGGGTCTGAATAGGTCTGTATGATTAAGATCCATAACAGAGACTTAATTTCATTAAGATGTTATCATCCATATCCATTATTAATTGTCGTCACCGCCTAACATTATCAACTACCACCATACTACCGCCGCCACCACCACCATCACCATCATTCTCAATCACAGTCGCCATCATAATAGACTACCACCACCCACCATCCGCACCACTCCCACCATCATCATTCTCAAACACAAACAACAATCATCCACTTCAACTACCACAACTAACCACCACATCACCATCAATAACCATAATCGGCACTACACATCATTATTAACAACCACCGCCCACCACCAGCTTCCTCAATCACAACTAACACCACCACCCGTCATGATTAACTATCACCACTCACTACCACCATCCTCAATCATAATCGCCACCACTACTAATCACCACTAGTTACTACCCTGAAGAACCACAACCATCAACCAAACATACCACCAACCACTGTCTCTAGTCGGCATTCATAAGCACCACCATTAGCCATTATCACTAACAAATACCATACTTTTAAAAAAATTATATATTTTATTGCTAGAATATTAGATTAATTAGAAATTCATTTGAATTTTATGGTTATTAAATTTTAAATAAAGATAAATTTTATACATTCAGATGTTAAAAATCAAACAGTCTTAAACATTTAATATTTAGATCTTAATACATATCTTAATATTCAGATTTGTATTCAGATTCGGATGTCTTAATCTTAATACACATCTTGATATTCAGTTATGTATTCAGATTCAGACGTCTTAATCTTTAAAAAAAAACTTAATCCGCGTTATTATATTTAATAATATATCTGCTCGATATCTATTTTTGCAAAGTTTTTACTATCCTTAAGTAAGATTTCTCTTAATAGTAAAAGGATTTGTTAAAAAAAAAAACAGACGCCTTAAACATCTCATTTAATTAATAGTAAAAATTTATAAAACTCTACCACGTTAAATAAAAGTGCTATTTATAAAACTAAGTGAAGATGGAACACTTGCTCAATTTCCCCACCCATTATTTCTCCAACCAAAAGTTAAAAAGTGTAATTTTAAAGAAATAATTAAAGAGTCAACCTCAAACTCTAGAAGTGCTCATTGGCGTGCAATATCTTCTTGTGAAAAGATATGATGAATACAGAAAGTGCTAGTGGGAATCTTTAAAAGGTATATTTATATAATGTTTGAGGCGCTTCTCCTTTTTGGCATTTTAAGTGAACATTAATTAAAAAGGCTCTTCACTTTCTCAACAAGAATGATTATGAAGGGTTTCTTCGACCACTTACTTGAACCAAAAGATATGTCCACTGAATAATTCAATTCTATAGTGCTTTGGCAAGGATATATTGATGGAACCTTACATTAAGATTTTTTTATTGTGTGGCTATGTATTTCTACCAAAGTAAAAACGTGAAAAATGCAAATAGTATACTTTTTTTTTAACGGGCAATGTAGTAGATTTTAAAAAGTTATTATTTCCACAGTGGAGTTGACTTCCCTGATAATGCAAGATCCACCAACAAGTCTTGCCCACTCTAAAAAGAAAAATTGGCGAAAAACTTACATTATCCGACGTTAAAAAAAAAACTTACATTATAAGTGAATTTTAATCGATTATAATAGATTATTAATTGATTTTAATCAATTTAGAATTATTAATTTATAACTATTATAAACAGCTACTATCTTATAGTGTATCTACATTTGATGACACAAAGAAATTTGCACCATCACTATGATTCATGAATGAGTTAAACTCTTCGATAAAATGTACGAGTACTTTTTTTTTAAGAGAAGGAACGAACGATGACTATCTCCAATAATTTATAAAGAAGCAATCTAATTAGCGGCGCCGACTCAACCAAGAGTATAGGCGGCTAATGTACGTGTCTGGTCGGATATGGGTGGTCGAAGAAAAATAATACAACAGATAAAATATCCGATCTGCCCATATTTAATACAGATTGAAAATGGGTTAACCGATAGATAATATGGATATTCGTATTATTTATGACTTCTTGAATGTAATCACTTTTCGGAGAATTTCTAGTCTCGCAAATTTAAGGAACTTCTAATTGAGTCGTTGCAAATATAACTTCTCCATATTTGACCTATTTTTAAACAATTTATTATCTAACCCATTTTTTAGTGGATCGGATAATATGAATAGATGATTTTTTTATATCTATTTTGCCACCACTATTCAAGTGTTTCAACCTTCAAAAAGAACAAGTAGCAACATAAAGTGCAATTGGACCATATATATATATATATATATATATATATATATATATAACATTCAAAATATACGACCATCTTTCTTTTTTCAGAAGCTCATCGGAAGCAGCATTACATTAGAAATTTAAGAGGCTTAATGAATGGGAAAAAAAAAAGGGGGTGATCATCCTTAACTTGTAAAAGGAAACCATGCACTTTATTGCATGCCTAATTTGCAGCCACGTACAAAATACTTGACTTGAATAAATTTGAAATTCTATTCCTAACTTGTATAGATTT